CCATTATTTCTCCATATTTTTTGTGAAAACTCCATAAATCTGCAACATGCTTGACAAAATCTAGACAGACCGAATAACCTCCATGATTTAAGGTTATAAATACTGTGAATATGCAACATTTATAGACAAAACACAGAACATAAAACATGGATTAACTTTTTTTAAGGGTAATAGAACGTTTTCATATATTTTAAAAAGGTTACTAGCTAGTTATTGGTCAGTCGGTCGGTCAGTCGGTCGGTCAATAACCGTCAGTTATAACCGCAGTCGGTCGGTCAATAACCGTCGGTTATAACCGCGGTCGGTCGGTCATTGAGCAATAACTGGGCGGTTATTGACTGTGACCAACCATGACCGACCGTTGCCATCCCTAGTATGAAGACACTATAACCAAGTTATAATTTATTCAAGTGATCCGTGTATGAAGACACGATCACTCTTTAAGGAATTGTATAATTTATTCAATAAAGTATTTGAGTTGTTCGTGTATGAGGACACGACTACTCTTTATTTATTGGGGAGGCGTTGTTGGAACTTCGAGTTCTGTCTTTTACAAGAGAAATATCTAAGTCTATTTATACCTTTTGAACTATCACTCTCTGCTACTATTTTTACAAATTACAAATTTACTAGAACCACTAATTTTAAAGAAAGTATTAGCGCTATTAATTAATAAGTGCTTTAGAACTACTGGTCCTATCTATATTATTTTAGTGATAGTTAGCGCTAGCTAGCGCTACTTAGCACTCTTGGCATTAGTGTTACATTTCTGCCTAATATCACATGATGCTAAGTTACAGGGGTTAACATTACTAAAATTGGGTGATACAAATAAATTATTTACAAGCGGAAAAGGTACCGACTAAAATATAAGTTTAGAATAAAAATAAAGAAACTAAAATTTTAATTCGTTATAATATTCGGCGAAATGACACAGACCTATTTCTGTCCCGTTAGTAAAATGGATTGTCGGTATTATGACTTCGGTGAATGGTATTTCAGAAAAATGGACTTCGGGAAAGTGAGCAACAACCCTTGCGAAATGCATTCATAAATGCTTTCCCTTCTTCTAATCTGTGTGTGTTCATTATTTCAGCAGTGTGGGTTTATTGGTTTCAGTAGTGCAGATTTGTGGCTTCACGGTAAGTGGATTCATCATTTCAGCGGTGTATATTCATGGCTTCAACAGTAGGATTTTATTAGGGTTAGGTGGGTGCCTATGTTAGGATTAGCGGAATTATAATGTTTTAATCTGACACAGATTCTAATTTGATGCACAACATATATCCATATAAATATTTTGGTAATTTGGTTGGATAGATTAATATCACTATATATCAAGTAGTCCCATGCCTTTAACACAACGTGACGGTCAGTTTCGGATCACCACGACTCTATAATCAAAACACAACAAAAACATAAAACACAGTGAAGCCTACTCGAAAAGCAAGGAAGATTGGTTTGAGAACCAGGTCCCTATTGTCGGAATCTATGGCTAACAATACTTATTTACATGATTATGAATTTTACTTATATTATTCAATATCTATGTTTCGCTTCGATCCAAACCCGAAATAGCATTTGTTAAATGCTATCTCACATGCCGACCATTGAATATTAAAGGTCCTAGGCCTGTGGTTCAAGTCACATGTTTTTATTCACGATCTTGGTCATATACTTGAGGTCAGATCATATTTCCCGTTACAACGGGTTACAACGCGTTGTACTAGTAAATTATTAAATCCGGAGATCGGAGTTATTCCAGACTTTCTGTGTCACTATGTAACCTAAATTTTTAGTACAAAACTACTCACTATTTCTAAATTTGCGTACATCAGTTTCATGTAATATCGAGTACATAATTGTCTAAAAAAAAATTGGTGTACGTGAAGTTACACGAAACCGATGTGCTCCCTTTCATAAAGTGTGCACAACCTTGAGAAGTTTGTATATTTATAATTCCTATTTTAATTATTTTAACTTCGGTATAGATTTTTAGGAACCTTTTTAATAAGATGAACAATAATTTTAATTTTGAGGTTATTATGATTATTTTATCAGATTTAGTTCACAAAAAACCTGGTCAGCGATGTATAATAACAAATTCATAATTGAAAGAATGTGTGATTAGTTATCTGAAATTTAGATAAGGCCATAAAAATTTAATAAATTGTTTTCTCATAAACCGGCCTGGTCAAATTTTGCAAAACTTCAAAAAATTTTTTTGAAATCAGCAAAAAATTAGATATATTTTTTATACATAAATTTTTTTTGGAAATAAAATTATAAGCCGAGTTGCTGGGTCATTTTTAAGAACTTAATGTTACGAAAACGAAATCATTATCTTTTTATGGCCTAACACAATTTTTAGTAAAATTTTCGTTAATCGAGACGTTATATCTTTGGGTTTTATATCAATATTATATTATTAATATTCTTATTAAAAAATGAAGTGTTTCATCGAAACCTGAAAACTAGTTATACATTTGCTTTCAATTAATTTTATATATCGCTAATTAATCCAGAAATTTTAGCAACATATATTAGTCTAAATTATTAACATCTTATTTTTTTTTTTTTATGCAAATAGAATGCTTCTGAATCAGAATTCCAACCTCATGATTTTATTAAAAAACTTAAAAAATGGACAAGTACTCACGATATTTATTCTTTGAAAAAGATCATTGAAGATAATAAAATATCGCACAAAATATTAATTGAGTCTATTAAGTTGCTAGCTGATTCATCTGAATTTAATTATTATAGCATTGAAGCTATTTCTGAACTAGAATTACACATTCGCACCTTAGTTTCTCTTATAGAAGTAATTTGCAAAGGTGAAATTCGGATTCGACATGATTTGAGAGAAAAAATTTATACTCAATTAGGAAAATTTGCTGAGATACACTTTCGATCAACTGAAGTTAATGAAGAAGGTTTTAATAAAGTTTTTAAATCAAAATTTGATGAGTTTAATCCACGTTCAAATGACAATAAAATTCGTAAGGATGGAAAGCGTAATTACAATATTGATTTCTTGTTGTTACACTTGCGAGATACTCTTCATTGTATGAAAGATGATGAAAATAAATTTTTGGAAATATGGAACAGAATAAAAGCACTTCTTCATGTAATATTAGGTATTGCGCCAGGAATTGCAAAAACAGGTGGCACTGATTTACCAATAAACAATGGTGTAGAACTACTGTTTAAATCTTTGCAAGAAGCTTTTAATTGGAAGTATCCAATCTCTTCATGGTATTATGAATGGAGAACACTACTTGAAATACATTTTAATATTCAAAATTTTCTTCAAGAATGTTCACTTTCTTTAAAATATGGTGAAAGTTTGTTACTTGAATGCTTATGGCATTGCGTATCAAAAAGTTGGTCAAATCCAATATCTCAATCAGAGTATCTTATAAATCAGAAGCATTTTATTAATAATCTTTTAGGTAAAGAGCCACTTGCATTTCCACATTCTTTATGGTTTGGAGCTCTTGATATTACACAAGACTTAATTGCAAAAACTCAAAGAGATTCAACGTTAGGCATTTGTTATTATTTAGCATTAGAATCTTTGCAAAAAGCACCTTCATCTTTTATTCGTTTCAAGGCTATAGAAATTCTAATTAAATTGTCAAAAAGAAATACGCTACTTTACAACATTATTGAAAATGATTTTAGAGATTATAAATACTTTTTAGATTCAGTAGAGGGGTCAAAATTACATTATATGATTGAAGCAATTCATGTAAAAATTTCACAAGATGAAAAATTAGTAGACACTAGCAAAGATAATATAAATAATTTAAAAGAAAAAGAAAAGGTTATTACAACGTATGGATTAACATTACCTTATACTATTGCTCCAAGTGATGATTTGATTTCAGATATTGTCACTACAGAATTATCTTGTCCAGTAACCTATCAAATTCCGAGCAATTTTCAAATTTTACCTTGTGAACATTTAATTAGTCCTGAGGCATTGCAACAAATTATTAATAAAACATCCCAACCAACTTGTCCATTATGTCGGAAAATAATTGATCTAAATTCTGTAATTAATTTGCCACAGTCAGCAATTTATCAAGGAATTCGTAATTATTTGTCTGAAGACAATAACAATAATGTTGTTCAAGATCACAATAAAAATATTTCTGATGAAAGTAATGACGATGAAGAAATTAATATCTCTAA